GCAATAGTCTGCATGCATGGTTGGTCTCTTTGGTCATGTAAACTTATTCAAGGAGGCACTTCTCTTTACCAACATAAAAATATATCCCAAATTCAATAGTTTGGGGAGCTAGTGTTGCTTGGTGCGTGTTGGATTCATAAAAAGGTCAAGCTCGAGGAATGTTTGTTTTAAAAAAAATATATTTATCCTTAAAAATTGTAGCCTTTATATATAAATGTCAAATCTATACGCAGTTAAAGAAATATGGGATACTGTTGAGACATTCATGAGATATGATGAAAGACACAGGTGAGAATGACTTTCTTAGTCACCTATATTTTAAAAAAGTTTATCTTAAAACGCTTTTTTTAAGCATTTATTTTCATTAGTTAGTTATTTATATATCTATTTTGTCTATGAATCACACAAATTAAGTTTCTAGTAATTATGTGAATTGTTTTTGGTTTTAAACAAATTTCTATATCAATCTTCATTTTCAATTGATAGGTCGGCACTAAAGCCCATTCCAAAAGAGAAGAAACAGGTAAACCTGATTTATGAAGATTTAGAGTTTCTATAATTACAAAGAATATGAAAAATCTATAAAAGTTATAATCTAAATTATTAATTTGAACTCATTATGTATGTAAAGAAAGTTAGTTTTTTTTATATATATATTTTATTATCCAACGAGTAAATTTTCTTTTCAAAAAAGAAATTATTGAGATGAGCTTTCAACGAGGACAAACTGTATGTAGCACAAGTTGCAACATTGACAATTTGTGTCAATTGATAATTTAATGCATCATTAGCTCTTAGTGGTCACAAATCTCTTGATTCGTTAATATAATTATTCTTAATTATTATCTTTATACTAATAACAGATTAAATAACTCTTACTTAACTATTCTCTTCACTAGTATTAGTTCTATATTCATAGTAGGTAAGAAATTATATACACTATCTCGTGGGATGAATGATACTCAATTAATTGTCTTCTTATTTATGAAAAATAATCCTAACTAAAAAATTTAGTTAATTTATATCAAATATAAATGTTTAAAAATAGTAAATTATACCAAAAGAAATTAGTTTACCAAACAAAAATGAACCTTATTTATATTTTCATTCAATTTATTATATTTAAATAAATATATATATATATATATATATACACACACACAATTACATAAATATTTGAGATAACTTGAATACAATAAAAAATCATGGAAGGTCGTACGAGTATGATGCAAATAGAGTTTCTTATGTATTTGCTTATACCTGTCTTAGCATTGACTGCTTTCATCTATTATCCAATTCCAAAAAGATCAAATAGGAAAAGAAAAACCCAAGAACACACCTCAAGGATATCATTGATTATATATACCATGTTGAAAGTTACTTAAACCAGATAGCAGGAGCTTACTCATAATTAAAGTTAAAAAAGATAGAAAGATTGAGTTTAAACAAACACAAAACCTTTTCTGTCCTTGAAGTTTCCAAAAAACTTGAAGGTCAATACTCTGTAAAACTTGTGGGTTTTGCTTTGATGTTGAAATAATGAAATCACAACTTGATCCAAGCTGCTAAGAAATTTCCAATTCCCCCAAAGAAAACCCTCTTAAGAAGTTTCAAGCTTTTTCTAGTATCCATCTTTTCCATCACCTTAGCCACTAGTAATTGAATAATCCAACACTTAACACCATGAATATGCCAACAACGACCTATGGATGATGGTCTATTAATGGCCGAAGGAATTTATGGGTCAAGAACACAATATTCGTCCCCTCTTTATCTCATTCCCTTTTGTTTTTTTTTTAATGCTTCTGTTGAGTCTACTCTGTACAGAATAATTTCATCTGCAAACAGAGAGAGAGAGAGAGAGAGAGAGAGAGGGAGGTGAAAGGTCATGATTGACTGGTAGGAATCCAAATCCAATCTTGACATAGCGGATTTTCGCAGAACCCGATGCTGCACTGGGTACCGTGCCAAAGCCATGGTAAATTGACTAAATTCACTCATCCAACTTCACTGCTTGCTCCTGTAAACTTCACCAATGGCAATGGTGAATGGAACAGGGAAGGGGAAAATGCCAAAACAGAAAAAAAGAAAGGGAAAGCCAAGTCAGCAGTAGCACGTGTTCTTCTCCTTTCATTACGTTGCATCCTATCTGTGCGAAGCTCTCACTCCCCAATTTCAGACACTTGTCTCTCTCTCTCTCTCTCTCTCTCTCTCTCTCTCTCGATGAAGAGTCCAGATTAATGTTTTTGTTGTTCGTATTTGCCGCTTTCTTCTTGCCAACCGTTTAATCATGACGTTGATACAGACATAAATTTCACCCATTTTCTGATTTGGTTCTCTGAGCTTTTTCTCTTCCTCCTCCGTACGTGCGTTTGCTTCCATATTTTATCTTTTGCAGAAAAAAAATGTTCGAGAGAAACCAATCTCTTAGCTTTGTTCGATCGTAAACACAGAGATCCATCGGGCCGTTTATTCCAAGACAGAATCCCATTTACGGAGAAATCGATGTCACTTTGGTTAACTCGAGCTTATTTTGGTGGAAATCTCGGACACCCTATTTCCTATTTTGGCTAAAAACCGAGTTACTAATGCTTATTTTGGCGGATTTGAGAGCAACTGCGATTCATCTTATTTCAGCCCTTGAGCGGTTCTGGTGATCTTTTGTCTTTTGTTTTTCTCCTTTTTCTTTGATTCTTCTGGATTGGAAATGAATGAGCATGGAGACCAACATATTACCTACGAAATTGCGGTGGTGGTCCCCAAAAGAATTGTGAAGGAAGAAGATAATTCATGTGATTGTGTTGATGTTCTTGTAGACGAATTCAGGAAAGAGGGTTTAATAGTTGATAGGGTTCTTGGCCTCGCAGATCATGAGTTTATCAAGGTATTGCCATTTTATGCAGAATAATTATTTTTTATCATTCCATGATATATCGACTTTTAATTTGTTAATCAATGATTTATTTTGCCATATGTTACGGGGTTAGCAGATAACATTCAGTGCCCATATTAAATAAATGAAAATCTTTTCTTGCTGTCAGTGTATGCGGTTGAGGGTTATTCAGATGTTTTCTGGCATATTGCTGTGAAATTCTTGCAGTAAAAGTAGGTTTTTTTATTTCTTAAAATGGAGCATGCTCCCGTTTCTTTTATGCTTAAAAAAGGGGACAAAAGAAAACTTAATAAGTTGATAATTTTGTTCTGCAAATTTAAGTTCTTCATGTTCATATTTTCCCCCCTAACCCACCTCGCTAACAAATTTTTCTCCCGTTCTTTTCTCTGGGGCGGGGTTGGTAATGTTGTGAGGGTGGAGGTGGGGGGCCTATCAAATGTACCATGACCCATGCCATTTGGATTTACAATCAGTTCACTGTAGTTGCTTAGCGTGATTTTATTTACCATCTGGTGATAAGCTTAACCCTGTAATTTCCTTTGTTTTTGTTCCTTTCTTAAAAAGTTTTGTTTTCTATAGAAAAATCCTTGTTTTAGCGCACTGAGGCAAAGTTGGTGGATCATAAGCAATATATATTCAGGCCTAACTGGATGGCTATAAATAATGTTTCTCTCAGCTGGCGGCGTCTTCGGAGACCTTGGGCAGGGCTGCAGCTGAGCTGCAAATGAGGAAACCTACTCATATTGGTAGTAATGTTAATGAAACTTCGAATATTCTTAACCTTCTCAATAAGTATTGTACTCCTTGGAAATCAAACCCTGCATTACCTTCTAATTTCAGGAGTAGATCTACAGTTTGAGTGGGAAGAGACTGAAGCTTTTGTTCGACAGCCTGACGGCTCCTTGTTTAGCTGGTGGGAGCGTCTTCAATGCTATAAACATCTAATTTATGGGGCTGTAAGTCATTCTGTCTACACTTATCTATTAACATTTACTTAATCTCCCTTTTTCTCTTGTTTGTCTTTTAATTTGTTTAAATGTGCATCTTGCTACATGGATCGCACTATATATATTTATATGATATCTTAATCAAACAACGGATAATTTTTTTAGCTAGGTGGCTTAATGCTTCATGATTGGAGGATTTGATCTTTGAAATATTATGTTCACTTGTTTGTCTTTTAATTTCTTTGCTCCTGTATCTATCATGAGCTTTGCATGGTTGGTATCTAAAACTGATACATTTACAGGTAAACAAGCAGAAATCAGGTATAACTCTAAAATCTGAAGGCAAAGAGTTCTGTTGGAATGTTGGGGAATCATTAATGCATAGGTTGGAAACTGAGGGCATTGCCAAAGAAGTCTTCCCGCTGCATGGTTTGCAAAGTTGAATAAGTTAACATAGTTGCTTGAGTCTATTGTGATCGAAATGCTGACATAGAATGAACACTTGTCCACAGATGAGCTGGAGAGGAAGAAGCTCTTCAGAACATGGGCACTGAATTGGTGGGACTTTACAAATCAGCCAATTGATGAGATATATTCATATTTTGGGACAAAGGTGAGTATGACTATGAGTACAGGTAGATTTATACATCACTAGAAAATTCTGCAGGCTGCCTGATTGAGGACATATGCTTGGTAGATTGCAGTCTATTTTGCTTTCCTGGGAATGTATACACGCTGGATAATGTTTCCAGCTGTACTGGCTCTGATTGTGCAGTTGGTTGATTTTGGGTAAGCCTTTTCTCCATTTTATATTTGTGAAGGCTGCTTATGATAAACTATCTGATGCACCAGGAGGACCATTGCTAATCAAATATTTTTTCTTTGTAATGTTTTCGTCAGATCCTTGCAGTTATTGGCGCTTCCTGTTTTCCTGATAAGCATAATACTGTGGGCTGTGTTGTTTATCCAGTTTTGGAAACGAAAAAACTTTGCCCTGTTAGCAAGGTGAATTGTTTTGTTAAGGAACTGTATGATAATTACAGCATTCATCTCTGTATGTGAGGCTTGTTTGACATGCTGACTATTTTTAACATTTATTTTCTCTCCCCTTTCTGGATTTGGGCAGTACAGATGGAAGATAAATTATTCCGTTACCTCCAGCCAGGGATATAGATTTTTGGGCATGGAGTGGAGTTCCCAGCAGTCTTCTATGGAACTTGTAAAAACATTGGGGAACGATAAGTCTAAAGAGAAGGAAGCATATCAAAGATATGAATGGCTTGTGCATCTCAAGCGATTTAGAAATGACGCTTTATTTATCTTGAGTCTTATCTGCCTGCAGCTCCCGTTCGAATTGGCTTATGCACATCTTTATGAAGTCATCGGGTCTGATGTTCTAAAGTAAGTATTTATCTTCTCTTCCCTGCTTTCTTCTGAGGAAAGAATGAACTTTTAATCACGGTTAAATAAATATTAGTATTAATCCCTGCTTTTGGTTCTCTAAAACCCACTTGTACAGGTATACAGTTTATGCTGGTAAGAATTGCATTAGATACATGATTCCTCTATTAGTTTACAGGCATCCCTTTTTATTTCAAGCATTTTGAATATAATCAGTCATTGGGGTGAAATCACAATCTGGTTAAACTATAAATATCATTTGTCCAGAGTTGAAAGATTATTATCAATTATGATCTTCTCCATTCCTTCTGGTTTCCATTACTGTCGATTACTCTTTTTCAATAAAGTCAAGGCTGATAGAGTAACTAAATTAGGTGGCCATGCTTTCCTAAGATTTAAGCTAGTAGTGGATTATTGAACTTATTATTTGCACTGTATTTTCACAATGCTATTTTCTCATCTAAGTTAAGACTCCTTTTATTTAGTTCTTCATAACATCTTTATAAGAAATCAAGCGAAACCCTTGCTGCACACAAAACCCGCCTTGTTGGAGAAGAGTTTCAACATATCAACCTTGCTGAAGATGATCCATTTTAAGAAGTAATGATGTAAAATATTGTAACCAATTGAATGAGACTTGTTTCAAATCATAGATTGTGTTCTCTAGTTTACAAACATATTATCAATGCTGTTTATCTTCAAAACCACGAGGTTATCTCATGTATACATCCACCTTCAAATGTGCATGAAAAACATGTTCTTTACATCAAGCTGATGAAATGGCTAAAGAGATGAGGCCGCAGAGAACAATCCTCATAGTGACCATTGGATGAGAGGTAATCAGATGAGAATCTGTGTCTTGAGGCAAGCTAGAATTGGATGCCTCTTTAGCAGTAGTTAGAAGAGTTTAAAAAGGAATTTGCAGTGAATCATGATTGGAGACTGTTTGTAATGGATATGTCATGCGAGTTTGAAAGACTGAATAATTATATCAGTTTGTGGAGTCAAATGAATTTGTCTCCTTCTAGCATAGGCAATTAATTGTTTTGACTGAGGTGAAACAAGTGCATGCAACTGGGAAGGGTATGTTTGTAACTACTCAATGAATTTACTTGGACTTGTGCAATTTGGATTCTTGAAATCGATGCAAAAGTTTAGACAGAAGAATATGAAACTGATGGTATTTTGAATGTGTAAAACACAGATGTTGAACTTTGAGTCCCATCAGATTTAGACTTTTGCAGCATATGGAAAATCTTGTTCAACAAAAACATGTCTAGAAACAGTAGCATTGATAGCCTTTGTGATTATTAGAATAACCGATGTAGATACATTTAACAGCTTGAAGACACAATTTATCTGGACATTGCGGTGGTATGTTCGGATAACATTCACTATGAAATATGCTTAAGAGTCCATATGATGGGCAATTTTTTAATAGCATATCAACAGGGTACTGTTTCCAATTTAAGATGGTGGAAAAATGTTAATACGCTGAACGACAACCTCTAATGCCTTATAACCAAAACTTTTAGGTAATGAAGCCTAAACTGAAATGGTACAGACCATATTAATAGTAGTGTAATGCATGCATTCTGCCATGCCATTTTTCTGAGGAGTGTAAGAACAATGAATGCTGCATGTATTGTAGACCTTTATCAATTTTATTAGATTTGATATTGAGATAGTCACACTGACATCACATGGGATTTCTTTAATGGGAACCTCAAATTGAGTTTCACAAAATTATAATAATTGACTAATAAATCAAGTGCCTGCATGTAAGAGTCCACATAAAGCAACAAAATGTTTCCATAAATATAACATAATATCCAAATCTTGAAAAAAATAATGCTGTAGTTGCCCAACTATAGAATGTTTATTGGAAAAGGTTCATTAACATTCCACTGAAAAAGGAAGTCTAGAACATTTGCCATTTGCCTAAATTATAGGATTCACGTACTAGATTACTAGTCTTAAAACCGACTGAGAATTAAAGAATGTAATTGATGATATATGAGAAAGCACCTATGCCAAAGCTGTAACTTAGAGGACATGGCAACAAAAGCAGGAAAATGAAACTTGTAAGACTCGATGGATGTGATAGACTGTATGGAATGTGATCATGCAAGGAAATTCATTTAACTAGTGGAGGTTGAGTCCAGAAATTCTATAGAAAAATCAAAATTGGTTAAATCTGATAAACATGAATCACCTTCAGTAAAATGTTTTACAAAAATAAAATTATCAGCAATGAAAAAATAAGATTTATAGAGAAGAGAAACAGAAGGACAGTACCTAGAGAGGCAGTCATGTGAGAAGATGCTTCTGTATTTGGTAATCAAGAAGTATCATCAGGTTGTACTAGTTGTAAAGTGGCAGCTGTTGCACTTAGATGAAGTAGAGGAATATGTGGGCAGTTGTTGGCACGAATGAGAACACTCGCACGCTAAATGATTAAACTGAAGGCAGTATTGGCATTTGAGGGGTATGGGCTACATAAAGAACAGAGGAAGCTGGCGAAATAGGCATGGACTTGAGAATGCCAGGCTGGAGAATATTTATAGTGCGGTTAAAAGTTCAAAGGCACCCAAGATTGCTGCGTGACAACAACCCCTACTACGGGAGCAACCACAACCACAGGCTTGCTGGTTCTGATTTTTGTGCAGATTGAGGGGTTCGATTTTTGGTGTTTTTGGAATTGAGAACAGAGGATAACTGATTGGCGTATAATGCTACTAATGAAAAGGATTTTTTATGTGTGCTAAGTGCACCTTTCACAAATAGAGGGGTGTGAATTTTTCTGCAAACAAAGGTAGTGGTTTGTGAGAGCTGAGGTTGATTGTGAAATTTTTGTGATCAGTCTAAAAGCCTTCAAGAATTTAAGGAACTAGATCATCATAAAGTAATTCATGTGTAATGGAGATGGGAGAGTCATAAAGGGTCATCAATGTTTGAAGATAGATTTTGACAGAAAGATCAGATTTTGATGCGTGTGGATTTTAGGCTTGAGTTGGAGAAGATGAGAATCACTGTTGTGCAAAAACTACTGAACAGTGGTCCATGCTTGGTAGACAGCAAGGAAGAGAGTTGGCTTAAGAAGGCTGAGAAAAATGTAGAATGAAATTGTTGCTTGAATTCCAAAAAGGACAGAAGTATCATCCTGTATCCAAATAAGGACTTCAAGGTTGTTGTCAACCTCCTTTCCATCAAGTTTATTTGAGTGGAAGACAGGTCGCTTTGCTGTCGAAATGTTGAAGAACTCTGTAGCCTAGGAATACTGGGATAAAAAGAGATTTCCAGACGAGATAATTTTTGAAAAGAAACGTCTCATTAACATAGTTGCTGGTATTAGAGACGCTACTGGCATGTCCAGTTCATTGCATTTAATAAGAGTGGAATAGGATAAAAATTTGATGATAATGGAATTAGCTGTGATGTATGTGGTTGTCTTTTTTTTTCTTTCTGTTGATATTTAAATTACCAAGTTAAAGTAAGATTAGAGTAGACTCAAGAATACACCATAATTATAAATTAAAATTTAAAATTAAAGAAAAAACCAAAAACCACAACCTAAAGACTCTTCCTAGTCTAGTTGCACAACCAGTATCATCTCAATGTCCACTTCTTGTGGAGAATGTAGGTTTAGCCATAAGACTAAAGAAGAAAGGTATTATCTGCATGAAAGAAAAATTACCAGACAAGGAGGTGTGATTTACTGGGAGCAGAGTGAAAGCTGAGGAGAGGATTGCATTAAGAAGAGGAGGAATTTATGGAGGGGAAGGCCTCTGGTATTATGTAAAATGAGGAAAGTGACGGAAGCTGTGATTTTGTTTAGTAGAATCTCTTTTTGAATATGAAAGTCGGGTTTGGCAGCACCCAGAAGTTAAGTGCTGTTTTTGAAGCTCTGATTGCTGGCTTCATTTCCTCCCGTTGTATCTGTGCTTTGAAGAAGATCTGGTTCGTATTTTGGTTCTTTTGATTACATGAAATGTCTATGTAATTTTCAGAATAAAAAATTTTGAAGAAGAATAAGGTTTTCTGGTGGCTAAGAGACCTGAGGGAGAAGGGAGGGAGAAAGAGGGAGGAGGAGGATGCTAGCTACATCATCAGTGTGGGAGATATTGTATCTGGTGGAGCATGCAAAAAAAGGTTGGCATCTAACCTTTTCTTACCAGATCTCCCAGATCTAGCAGTTCTAGCTATTTCTCAATGAATTTCTGGTGATGTCAAGGTGGCTTACCGGTGGTTAGCGGTGGTCTCTGATGGTGGTCAGGCCATGATCTGATGACAGTGGTGGAGATAAAATGTGAGTTGGATAGAAGATGTAATTCAGTATTAATAATGAGGTGTAAACTAGTATTCAGATTTGTTTAAAACCCTGAATTACAATTCATGTTACCTCCTTGAATGGCTATTCCTCATTTAAGGAATGGCTTTTCTCATTAATGACATTTAATGCTCAATGAAACATTGTTATAGTCATTCATATGTAGTAGCTATGTTGCTACATCTTTCCAGCAATATTCTGCAAACCAAACATGGCCTGGAAGAAAGATGTAACAAACTGGATCGCCATGGAAGAGGAATAAAATGGCTAGTCAGCAACAACAGAGGAATAGCCTTTGACTCGGTGTGTGAAAAAAAAAAAAAAAAAAAAAAGGAATATCTTCAATCAGCTCTGGTACTACGTATAACTTATGGGCAAACTGCCTTCATGGTATTATTGGTTGTAGCATGGTATTTATATGCGGTAGAAAGACAATCCTAACTTAAGAAGGATAAAATTGTACAGGTCAAACTAAAACAAGTTGTTATGTGGTAAAATTGTAATAATAATAATAATAAATTGATTAATATGGTAGTATTTATTCCTTTAATAGGAATCTCTACCTTGCATCTTCTACGTCGTCCAGGCATATGGTACACGATCTAGAATGCATCTACCCTTTTTATTAGTTAGAATTTTTTGTTTGCTTTACTTAGGAGATTGTTTTATTTATTTAACCTAGGTAAATTCACAGAATGTTTATATTAGGAATCTCTGCCATTGCCAATCCCTACTTCAATCATTAATCATGCTCTCCCTAGAAAGAATCTTGGATGTGGTAATCTGTAATGCCTTTCATGAAAAGTCGTGTGCTTTTGTGACAACTTTGAATATTTGTTTTTCAGGTTTGGGTTGACAGCCATTTATCTTTTTATCATTCAGTATCTTACACAGATTGGGGGAAAAATATCAGTCAAGCTGATTAAACGTGAAATCGACGAAAATACAGAACATAGGGCAGACAGCTTGATCTACAAGGTAAACCATACAATTTTTTGTGTTGTTTGGTGTCTTCTTCCCCTCTTATTAGCACTACAATAATACCATTTCTGTTGCAGGTGTTTGGTCTTTTTTTTATGCAGTCATATATTGGGATTTTCTACCATGCTCTTTTGCATAGAAACTTCTCAACGCTTCGCCAGGTCTTGATTCAGCGTTTGATAATCTCTGAGGTACAAAAGGGGATTTATTTGTAATTGGAAAAGATTTTTCTTTCTAGTTCACTAATGTTAATCTGCTCTTGGGCTGCATTGCAGGTTTTGGAGAACTTGTTGGAGAACTCTTTACCTTACCTAAAATATAGTTACAGGAAATATAGAATTAGGTAAGTATTTCCAATTTTCCATGTACTTCATTGTAGGTAGTGATTAAGCTTAATCTCCATTTATGTTTCTAGAATTATATGGTAATATAACTCCTGTGTCTAGAAATAAGAAAAAATGGGAGAATGGATCATCAACTGGGAAGATTCAATTCACGTACAGGGTGGAGAAAGAGTTCCTGAAACCTGCATACTCTGCAAGCATTGGTGAGGAGCTGGAAGATGGACTATTTGATGGTAATATGTATACATATATTTTTTCTGGGATATGGGATTGTGGGGGGCAAGTGGTTATTCGAAATCCTTGTGGGATAAAAAGTCTTTCACCGTGAATAAGTAGAAAATTTCGGAAACCAAACAAGTTCCCTTATTTAATAAACTTAGAATTAGGGGGTAATTTGGACAGACTTGCTGGAAGTACGGTCACAATTGGTTCAAAACTTCTAAACTCATGGAATAAGAGTAGAAAATACAACACAAATGTAGTAAGGTTGAAATGAAAATGTTCCTAAACAAAATTGAGAATAG